TATATATTAGGCACTGGCGACACAATGATGAATGGTCCATCACCCTGGCTTTAAGGAGGTGGGTTTGCAGGTTGGGGGGGTAAGACATGGGACCTCCTTCCTGTAGAGACCAATGAAAAACCCTGACCCCTGCCAGCCTGGACCACCTGTTCTCTGAGCACACAGTCCTTGTGGCCTCTGCTCATGTGCTTAGGCAGCCTCATTAGCACCGACACCACTCAACTTAGCTCCTCTATACTGCCATTCACTGTAAATTTTGGTGATTATTTTTGCTCTTTCTCACTAGTCTGTAAGCAACTTGAGTGCAAAGCTAAATCCCAAACCCTTAGTTTCCCCAAAGCATTTAATACTTTATCTAATGCTCAACAACATGCCAAGAGAAATGGACCTGAAAAATGGAACTCAGTGCAACAAATTATAACTGACATCTCAACACAAGGCATACTTTCACATGCCCTAGGAAGATGGAAAGGAAAAAAAGAGGTTTTTAGTCTAAAATGGCCTTTGGAGAGTTCTGAACAGATGGTTGATCTGCTATCATGGCCACTAACCCATTTTGTTGTAGGGGTGTTTCATAATTTCTTGGGGTTGTGTTTAACATTTGAAGATCCATTTAAGAATTTTTTCTGATTTAGATATATAAGGTGGCTGCTATTCACAAATTGCAAATGACTTTTTTCCCTTAGATCTACATTCCTTTCCCCCTTGAATCTCATGAATGAGCTCAGATGCAGGCAGTTTCATGAGCAGTGCCCTTCCAAGAGGAAAGCTGTGCTCCTCTGTAAAAATAGTTCCCACTATTCGCCCAAAAGGATATTCCTTTGCATACATCCTTCTCACAAATTCTCACAACAATCCAGTGAGCTAGGCATTGTGACTTCCATCCTAAAAATAAGGAAACTGAAGATCAGTGACGTTAAATCATTCACCTAAGGTCACTGAACTGGTACATGTGGAAGCTGAGAACTGAATCTAGGCTTTGAGACCCTGTAGCAGCTAAAACTGTCTCTGAAAGGCATTCCATTGAAAAGGATGTACGATTTGAGGGCTTGCTTTTGTGAATCAGCCCTATGTCAACATTATGCCCAATGGAATATCACACAGTAGCAAAGTAATGCACATTTCACTGTCTTGTCAACTGCTATCCATGGCCCTCCTGTGCTGTCAGGAAGTGCCCCTTCATTCTGAGCTTAAAATAACTTGGTATCTTTGTCCTCTTGAGTCACGGTTGCCAACCCTTCCATCTTTTCAGCAGCTTGCCTGATATCAGATGTGCCAGACAGCTTCCTTTAAACATGTAGAGACTAACCTGGTATGGAGTGGTGGGAGCCTTAGAGACTCTCTTTTTTTCCCCCAATGTCAGAGCTTCCTATGATTTTTCCTTCTGCGTGTGCATTTTATGACAATGTATCTTACTGTCTGGCTGGCCTGTTTATCCTCAAAACCAGACTGGTGATCCCTCTAGTAATGTCAAGTAGACATGTTCTTTTCCATTTCTGTGACTCTAGTAATATGAGATGGCAACTGAATATACACTGATTCATAGATCTCTTATTCTCATAGTCTGGAAACAATAATGTACTTGATTTTAATCTTTGTTCTACAGGTAACCAAATGTGTGACTGTGAGCAAGTCTCTCCATTTCCTGAGGGAGTGGGCTGAGTCTCTTTGCAGAAATGTTTGTGATTCTTTAGTCAGTCTTCTTTCACTTTCTATAGAATATTATTTGTCCATTGAAGCTTTCATGGGTTTCATAAACTGTTTTGTCATTTGTCACTAGGAATCCTACAATCCTCTAGGAAAGTATAGACATCAGATCAATAAGAGACCTTAAAAACTTTTAATCCAATGGCCACATTTTGCTAATGAAGAAACTAATACCCAAGGAGGTACAGAGACTTAGCCTAGCTCATGCAAATCTAAGGACTCAATTCCTAATTGAGTGGCCTTTGTACATACTATTTTCAGGCCCCAGGTCAGAAATGGACCTTGATTAGAAACAAACCTTCCTGCCTTTTTTGATATATTCTAATCTATTCATTATGATATAGCTACTGAGCAAAAATGTGTGGTTAGTTTTTTTCACAACAAATTTGCACAAAGTTGGAGATACTTTCTCTGTGCTTGCAATAAGGGAGATTGTGTTCTGACCTATTGAATACAATTGAACAGAAAACATGCAAAATTTCAGGCCTCCGGAGTAAAGTACCTTGTTTGAAGTCATCAGGCAAATGAGGGGCAGAGCCAGAACTGAAAGTGAACAGCTCCAGAGAGACAACTGGAAGATAATGGATGGTAACTGGCTATCCACACAGTCCTTCTGGCTTCCAAAGTCCAGATGGACCCCCCACCCTGTCCAATTGATTGATTGAAACACCAGTACTAAGACAGCCACAAATCCCCAACACATGGACACAGCTGCATGTTTGTGTCCAGAAGGGCCTAGGTCAGAGCACAACCTTCCCTACTGCAAGCACAAGCAGAGCTGCGACCAGCCAAAGAGGAAAACAACCCTGATGAGCAGAGTTCCATGACCACTGGGGTATAAGCAAAGAAAATGGAAGTAGACAGAAAAGTGAGCTCGCATTTGTTTTTCACAGGGTTTTTGGCTGTCCCTTCAGCAAAGCTGACCCTAGGTATAAGCTTGCCCTTTCCTAGTCCCAACTTCCCTGGTTATAAAATACATGTTTGGCAACTGCTCTGAAAGTTATTAAAGTTGCAGCGGTAAACTATGGGAGGCCAGAGAATTTCAGACAAAAGTTATTGCTTCAGTAACTCAGAAACTAATTCCTAAAACTCTTGACACATTTATCCAGAGGGCTAGTGCCAATATAGAAATGGAAATCATTGTCAAGGGCCACTGTGTACCTGGAATTAAAATCCATCATTCTCAGAGCAGAGTGCTATGATTTTGGCAGAATCTGAATAGTCATGCCTTTCACCACCATCTTTCCTAAAAAATAGGGTCCTTTATTTTTTAGAAGAACAAGAAAAATTCTGCTCTGTTTTTTTCTTAAGAACCCGTCGTTTACATTTTCTTTTCAAATATTTCTTTCTTTGGCAGTCCCGCATTTAAACCAAAAGGCCTCTTTTTCCTTATTCAATTGCACTGGTTTTATTTTGGGTAGAAATCCTGCTGGGTACAGTACCAGAGAACAAACTTTACAACAGCAATAATCCCTTCTACAGTGTCTATTGTGGGGAAAGTTAATACACTTTCATTAAACGGCTAAAGCATTGACTCCGGTGGTCTGAATTAACTGCAGAAGAGCATAGATAGGGAACAAAACTACCTCTTTCACTCAATAGACTCCTGCTGCATGCCCAGCAACGTGGCAAGACTGAGGACTCAAAACTGCCCTCCAAGAGTGCCCCCCGGAATACCCGTGATTGTCTTAGGCAATGCCTTCATCACCTGAAGTTAGCAAAGATGGGAAAGATGGGAAAGCATCCCATGTTAGCAAGCAAATGGAGAAATGGGCCGTCTGATTCTCTGTTAGAGGACTGACAATATGCCTCAGAGTTTTAATGTTTACACGTTTTGACTCGGGTTCTAAGAATTTGTCCTCAGGCAGTATTTACAAGTATGCAGGGTTCGCCTCAGCACAGTCATAAAGAGGAAAAATCAGGAGCAATGCACAAATCATTAAAAATGCAGTCATTGAACTGATCATGTAATCTGTATTTATCGCCTCATGACATACCGTTGAGTGGTGGAGTGCCGTCACACAGAGCATAAGTAGTATGGTCCCACGTAAAATGTAGCTGAAAGGCTGTTCACTGAGGTGTGGACCATGGGTAATCTCTGGATAATGAGCTTGTGGGTGACTTTCACTTTCTTTTACCAACTTTGCTGAATGATTGGATTTTAAATATTTTTTATAGTGAGCATCACTTTATATTGGGGAGGAAATTGTTTTTAAAATTTTTGAACACAAAAACCTAGTCTTTCCCTAAATTCCTTAGCACTTGTGCTGCCATACTTAAGTCCAGCCTAGTGGTAAGACAATATGACACATTGTGATAAGTTCATGGGTGCATACATATGTCAAAACTCACAGACTCCCACACTTTAATTCATCAAATTTACACTTTTTAATACATGCAATTTATTGTATGTCAGTTATACCTCAATAAAATCATTTTTCTTTAAAAGAAAAGAAAATATGAAATAGTCCAGGCAATTTCCATTCTCCACACAAAATTGTCAAAGTAACTGTTATATGTATATGTACCTGAATCAATGTTGGAAAGTAAATTTGGTCCAATCAGTGACAAGAGCCCACTCCAAGAGGTTAATAGCCTAAGTGAGGTGTAAAAATGTTCATTTGGCTTATTCTCTGTTCTCCAACAGTGTCAGTGTCCTTGATCACAGATGGATGCAGAGCTCACCATTTGACCTGTTTCCATCTTCTTCTGTTTTCACCTTTTTGCAGAGTCCACGTCAATCTTAGGTGCCTTTTACCCCAATATACATGCTTCAGTGCACTTTAATTTTCCTGCAGTAAATAAATAGCCCCTGCTAGTTTCCCTTAAGAAACTACATAGCAAAGCTGAGGGTTCTGAGACTTTGGGATAGGATACAATTACAAAAACCAAGCATTCCTTCCAGAGATAAATATGAACACGCTGATAAATGTTTTGAAGACTATCCTTCACTCTACTGGCAGGTTTTATCAAATATATGTATACTTTTCCCGTAAGACTAGCTACTGAAATAGTCCAAAGGTCTGCAATTGCCTATAAAGATGACAGAAGAAATACCAGGGGATATAGTGGGTTTAAGAAATTGGTCTCTGCATTAGCTGGACAAGAAGGAAACAAATATTTGTGGTTATTGTCAGAGTTCCCATCCTCAGAGCCACTTAGGGCTCCATCTCCTTGTGCCCATGAGAAAGTGATCTCTAGGCCACTGCATGGGCAGGACCCTTCTGGAGGTTAGGTCTGCTTCTCATCACTGCTTTTCAATTCTTTTCCTCTCTGCTTTCCAATGCAACTAGTTGGACAGTGCTTCAGGGAAGAATTGGACGCCCAGAGAATCCGTTCCGAGTGGCCCTGGAATACATCTCAAGTGGAAACCGAAGCTTGTCTGCAGTAGACTTCTTTGCTCTGAAGAACTGCAGTGAAGGTATTTGAAGCTGGATTTCCCCTCCCCTCCTTAGTAGCTGGTTGTTTTAAGGGTGTCAATAATCTGCTGCCACAATTAGCTGGGAATGTGCACACTTATATGGAAAAGCCTGCAGTGAATATTACCAAATGATCCATCATCCAACTGATCAACTTGCAAAGACTGAGTATAATTTATATCTGCTTAACTTAAAACTTCATCAAGTAGAATATGGTCTTGGTTAGATGACACTTCCCTGGGTGCCAAATACTTTCAGCTATGTTTTTGTTTTGTTTTTTTTACTGTGGAGAATTTCATATGTATACAAACAAACATAATACTGCAATGAACCCCCATATACCCTCAACCCGGTTTCAAGAATGAACATTTTGCCATTTTTGTTCCATCTATATCTCTACCCATTCCTCACAGTAAAATGATTACTAGTTTACCTTTTTTTCCCTGAGACAAAATTTACAGCTAAGTATTTTTAATGATTTGATTTAAGCTGTTATTAAGGGACAAAACATGGGAATTGGCTATATGTTAAATTTTTCACTTATTTTATAAAAACTGTTAGTCCACTGTGTCACTGAATTCCTTTTGAATAAGTCCCACATTGTGAATTTATTTCAAGATTTATTACCAAAAGAAGACATCTGTTTCCTGAAGAATAATTTGTTGATTTTTTTCTTTTTGTCTTTATTGCCAGAAAACTGAAAAAAGTGCAATACTCCTTGTTAGTAATCATGTCTGTGTAGTTTTCTGATAAGCTTATTTCCCCTTCCCTCTACAGTTTTGACCCTCTAGTCCTGTTTTCAAGATTGCATTGTATATACATATATCTTTCATTGACATTGCCTCAAGTCTGATTGTTAAGCAGGATGAAATGGATCATCACTAGATATATGAGATCAATCTTTCCTAGATTCTTGAGAAGACCTATAATCATAACAATAAGCATCCTTTGTTATTTCACACATGTAGAGGGTATAGGAGATGGGCTTGAATTACACAGACCCTGAGGAAGAAGTTGATTTCATTATTCCCATTCTTCTGCTGTGATCACCTCTGCCCAGGGGTTCACCTGGAAGCAGCTGTCACCTGTGCCACAGAGCCTGTGGTCTGAGAGGCCCAAGCATGAATTGTGACAGGAGGGAACCCTGTACCACTCCCAGACCTAAATTCTCAGTTTAGACTATTCATGAACATCCATCAAGGCCCATAACATGCAGCTTTCTGCTGCCCGTAGAGAACTAGCCTTGAACCTTGAGCCCCTGGCAAAGCACAGGGACTCCTTTAGCAGGGGGCCTACGGACCACCAGCTCCTTACGCTGCTGTGGCTCTTCATTCAAGAGTGCTTTTGCAAGAACTTTCACAAGGTGTTTTTTTCTCTTTCATCAAAAATGGTTTATGTGTGGGAAAAGGAAAAATCACTGTAATGTGATAGATTGAACTTCGGTTCAAGTTGAAAAGGTGGTTAACCTGTGACGGGAGGCAATGTACAGGAAACATGTGGTTTGGGAGGAAGCCAGAAGCTTGTGCAAATGTTTCCACACTCGTGAACTTGGGGATTTGCGAATGTTTCTGGACATCATCAATCCTCACTGATGTCAAAGGTATGTGCACCATCCAAAAAAGACCATCTGTTGAAATGGAGCCAGTTAATAGGAATGTGACAGGGAGAAGGTATCAGTTCCCAGAATTGGCCTAACCTCATTTGAGCAACGTTAGGAGATCGGCATAGGAGACTGTCAAACTCCAGGTATCAGGCCCAGCACAAATATTCCTGAAAAAATTCTATGTACCTTTGAATTAAGGATCTCAACCCGTTGAGGTCCTTACCCCTAGAACTCCCTTTCTCCTACAGATTCCTCCCTCTGTAGCTTATGTTACATTTGCAGTGAAGCTGTTGCAGTTAAAGACTTGTTTCTTGCCTGCTTCTCTACCCTTATGAAACCTAGAGTGAGACCTCTGCAACTTAAATGATTCAGAACGTGTTTCTTCTGGCAGGACACTATCTTAGAGGGAGAAACGAAGTCTGCCTCTAATTCCCTAAGGAAGGTAGACTGGCCAAGAGACCGGGCAGGTTCTCACGGCCCAGCTACCTTCCTGCAGAGGCTCCAGGGCCACAGGGAAGCAGGTGTTCTCTGCACAACTTCTCCAGCTTCAACTCCTGTGGCCACCACAGGCTGTGAAGGGATCAGTGTGGCTGTGGAGAGCAGAGGGAAGAGCAAAGTGATCCTGTTTCCTCAGAACTTCCTATGCTCCTGCCTGCAAGCAGAACAAATTCAGACGTACATCAGTTGGTGTGGACAAGTTGCAAACATAGGAAGCATTCTTAAAACTACACTCACATATTTAAAGGGCAGGAGTTATTTTGGAGGCATACTCAAGGCCCATTTTTTGATGTAGACAAATGTTTTCTGAGGTCATTGCTTTGGTTAGGTCATGGAGGGGTGGGGGTAAGGGGAGAGAGATGGTATTTCTGAGGGGGGTGAGCAGGGCTAGTGACATATTAGTCAGGGTTATAGATAGGTCTGAAAGATGCCTGGTTTTTTTCTGATAGTAACTTGGTCCTCTCATGATGAGGCACAGACAGCATGAGGGAAAACATATCTGTAGAACTCTACAACCCTTCTTTGGCTCACATGAAGAGAGACACCACTTTAGATAATCTGGAGAAGCCTTACAGGGGATGCTGGGACAATTCTTCCCACAGAGCAGATGATATTTATCTGTAGGTGTCATCAGGGCAGAGGCCACGCCTCTTTCCTCTCTGAACCCTGACACCTATCACGATGTGCAACGTTTACCAGGTGCTCAGATAAGAAGCAACAGAAGCTGGTATTGACAGAGCACTTACCACATGCAGAGGCAACGCGCTGGCCCTTTTACGTGTGTTATCCCACGTGAGCTTTACAGTGATACTATAAAGCAGGTACTGTTATCCTCATTTTGCAGAAGAGGAAGCTAAAACTCACAGAAGTTGCACAACTTGCCAAGGTCATACAGTTAGAGAAAAATACAGTCAAATGCAATCCCAAGTCAGTCTGACCACTGAGCCAGGGTTTCTGTTCACTGCATTCTACCACTTCTTTGGAATGTGTAGAGGCTGTGGTTTTATTTATCACCAAAAATCTTCAACTTTTCTTTGACTCTTACTCTTATCCCTACATCCAAACCTCTGAGCCCTGTAGTCTGGACTTGTGGCTGCCTTGCATCCTGTCTGTTGTTGTCTAGATGCTACCATTGCCACAGCTCGAGTTTACCCTTCTGACTTCATTTCCTCAGTAACAAGCCTTACCCAGGCCTTTGTATATAAATACTTGGATTGTTGCAGTAGCCAGCTGGTCTCCCTGATACTATTACCCATACCACAAACATTGCCAAGCAAACCTCCCTAAAAGCCCCTTTCCTTATGGCACTTTCATGAGACTTCATCCACTTCTTCTTGCCTCCCATATCAGAAATATGGGAGCCAGGAAAGTGACGGTCTAGGAATCACCCTGCTGGTTGGTGGGAAAGCTGACAATGGCATCAGGACCCCACTCACTCCAGCCTCGGTGCTCTCACCACTGCTCAGTCCTGCCTGCAAAGCCCCAGCATCTCTGCCTGATTTCCAGGGTTCTCTACAGTCCGGCCCCTCTATGCCTGTCCAGCACTATGCCCTCTCCTCTACTCTCCCGCACCTCCTGCCCTCTAGTCACACTGGTTTTCTGTGCACCACACCAGGAATGGCCTACCTGGTCCCAGGCCTTCTATCTTGAATGCAGACTCATTGTTTAATCCATCTGGGGGCCCAAGCCTTCCAGAACGTCATTTGTAACTACAGAAATTCTTCTCCGAAGACTTTGCTCTCTGCATCTAAATTTGGTAGCTGTTTTATAATTATTTCCCAAATAGTCATTTGGGGACCTTAACTTGAGGTTCGAGATCTTGTCTTATATTCCTTTTATTTCTCCAGGGGGCAGTTAACATAATGCTAAACACATAGGAAATACCACATAAATATACTTGCTGAGTGAGTGTTGGTTAATCAATCAATTGGTAAATGCTGTTCCTGCTTTCATAGCTTTGGGCTATTGCCATACTACTTCCAGAAGAAAGTAGCAGTGAGTGAAAATTGCTTGGAAAAGGTCTTTCCCTGATCTTAAAATAGCAGTTTGTATATGCAGCACTGACGAGAGGGATACCGGCCACCAGACACACTCGGCCTGGGCTTCCAGGGAACCCTTCACCCATCCACAGAAACCATTCTTCAGCAGACAGCCCAGAGCAATAGGGTTGTGCAAGACACTCATTGGGACTCCTCGTGTTCAAAGGGGCCCACAGAAGAACACACATCAGAATGGGATGACTGGCATCTTGAAAGGATTTGAAAAAAAAAAATCAGTGTGCCTCTGAGCAGCTCATAAAAATATATACCATTGCAAATGTCCATCTAGCAGCTTCTGTGCTCCAGGCCCTTTTCTAAGCATGTTGCATATGGGAACTCATTTAATCCTTACAGCAATGCTATAAGGTGGGTGTGTATTATCAGCGCTCCCATTGTATGGATGGGGAGACCGAGGCACAGAGACCTAAGTCATTTACCCAGAGCCTCACAGCTGATACTGAATGGAAGTCATCTGCTCCAGCATCCATACAGGTTGCTGCTTTCTGTGGAAGCTCCCCACTGAAAAGAACCCCAGAAAGCATCTAATCTGCCTCATTCACCACATGGAAACTGAACAAGCCCCCAAAGATCTGCCTTGAACTCTGACACGATAAATGATTGACCAGTCCAATGTGATTTTTACCTCCACCCTACAGTTGTCAGGTTCTCAGTGTTCCTGAGAAACCAGTTAAAAATTTTCCTCTCCCTGCCCAGGTTTCTCAAAAGTAGCTTAGGTGTCCCACCACCCACTTGTTAACAGTGGACCCCCATCCATGAAAATGTTGGAACTGCCAACGGCTCTTGTGTGAGCCTAAGCACATGCTGCCACATACTTCATTACCATTGCTTCCTTTACCTTTCA